CTGTGCTCACTACTTTCCTGAAGATTGCCTTCTCAGAGACATTTTAAAATCTCCTTGTTGCTAAATTCAGTGGCAGCTTTTCAATGCTCAGTGCTTTTGGCCACATTTAGCATTGACAGCTTTTCATTAAGGTTTTCTTTTTCTTCAGCTTCTTTGAATTTATGCATTCCTGATTCTTCTTAGATTTCTGATTACCTGTTTAGCCCTTCTTCCTGAATCCTGAAATTCTGTCTTTTCAAGAGCCTCCTTGAATCTCTTCTTTCCCCTCTTTGCTGTCTTCCTTGGCAAGATCACAGTTTGAGTGTAGTTCTGGAGTTAATAGTGTTCTCTGAGGAGAGTTGTCCTCAGCGATGGCTGTGTTTAGGTCTCTTGTGCCTTAGAGAATGGGCCTTAGGAGGTGGTCCAGGGAGCAGCTTTCAAATCTCCATTTCCAGTTGTGTCTGTGGATCCAGATTACAGGCCTGCACGTCCAGCTGGCTGCAGGTTTCTCTGTGTGCCACTGGCACGTCAACCCGTCACGTCCAGAAGAACGTCAGCTTTCTGTTTCTGTGTTCCAAATTTACAGTGATGGCATCAGTATTCCTCAGTCACCCAAGCTTGAAATTTTAGGGACCACTCAGACTCCTTGTTACTGATGGGTATTTTTTACAGCCAGTCATGGTGGGCTTTGTTTCCGTTTTACCTGTGTGCTCTCTTGTACGAGCACCACGCCGACGCTCTTCGCTTTGCCATGACTGCTGCTTCATTCTGCGTCCCTGTGTCCCTGGACTGATTAATCACCCTGCTTTCCCTGCTCTCCGCACTTCTCTGTGTGATTCATCGCCTTAAAGGAAGCTCTCATGATATTATTCCCATCTTACTGGTTATTGGTCCCTTTTGCCTATAGAATAAAATCTAGGCTTTCAAGCTTAGCATCCAAGGCCTGGCCTATGGTGGAGTCAGTGTGGACGGAGGGAAAGTTTGGAGAAGAACCAGGTTTGATGTTTGACTCTGTAGGGGTGGGAGATGCAGCCCAGCTGCAATTCAGAGAACTGCACGTGTTTGAGCTTGGATGTCTGAGAGACACCACTGATACCTGTCCCATTTGAAAAGCATTGGCTCGTGGTATCTGTGTCTTTGTATGTAGCGCTATTCCTGTATTAAACATCCTCTTCCCAGGGTGTTGACACAGTCCTAACACCTCACTGGGGCTTAGGCTCTTCCAGGTCCTGTCATGTTGAGTGTTTTCCTCTGCATTTGTTCCCACCTGTAAGGCTGAAGGAGGAATAATAAAATGGCCACATTTAGGCTAATAGATGGCTTATTCTTATGCTTGCCCTGAAAATGTTCAACTGACCTGCCTGATCGGTTGCTACTCACAGTTCCAGGCCCATCGTTAAAACTAAAGCTATTAATCTTACTGTTTCTACTTCAGTCCAGTATCAGAAGCTATAATCATGCTTGGTCTCTGAGTTGATCTCCAGGGAGAAGGTCACAGAACAGTAACCTTACAAAGTAGCCTAAATACCAAGAAGACCGCTCCTTGAGTGCTTATGAGATAAAGAGATCGAAAAGGCGACAACTGGCTTCCTTAGAGCTGGTCGCCTGGAGGCATCATGATGCCTCTCTAAGTCTTTTGATGAGAAAATGATTCTGTTGACTGTTACCGATGCTTTATTGTTTGAGCTATGGCTCTGTAACCACCCACCCCATCCCCAAGGTGGTCTCCAGTTGTGAAGGCACCAGCCTGCTGTGAGTCCCCTTTGCCCGGCACAGTAGTAAAGCTGCCTCTTTCCTTCTAAGCTCCAAGACCTGATCTCTGAGTTACTTGGCTTGTCAGGGACGGGGGTGATCTTTTGGCAGCAAGGCTTCCTCTTCAGAGGAATTCTTGCCAGTCACAACATCAACAGGAAGGATTGTTTTAAGTGCTGGGTTAGTTGAATAACTCTTCGTGATTTGTTAATTCGTCCGTTCTTTCATAGGAAGGACCTTTAAGGCCTGTCCTTGAATACATCGATCTGGTCAGCAGTGATGATGAAGAGCCGAGCACCTCTCGCAGTGATGTAAGTACATTACGTGTGATTTGCATTTCCTCACATCTGGCATTTAAGCAGCACTCTCGGAAGAGAGTTATCAAGTCAACAATGGCTGTGTTTACACCTGTTGTGCTTTAAAGAATGGCCCATTGGTGTTAGGATGGGCCGGAAGATGTGGTCTCAGGGTCCTTTGCCCTGGAGCTCTCCTACTCCCAGTTTTGTTACTCTACCTTGAGTGAGGATGTGAAAGGGCTAGTGACACAGGAAAGTTCTAAGCCTTGGAGGTATCATCTTGATAAAAGGGAAATAGGATAAAAACTGCAGGCTTTTTGGCTCCCTTCTCCTTTCCTGTCTCTCCTCAGGTGCCCTGCAGAACTGGGTCCTTTTCTCCCAGAACCATGGGGCCACAGAAAATTGGTTTTATCTTGGAAGAAAGCTAATGCGAAGATCTTGTAGGAAATGGAATGCGGGGAAGGGTTATGGGTCATTCGGGCGTCCTTCCTTTTCACCCTCTCCATCCCCACATATTTGGAGTCTTCTTTCTTACCTGTGATTTGTTGGCTGTGGGTTGGACTCTTAAACTAATACTTCCCTCACTCTGAGGTCCAGGGTAGCCGAACCCTTTGTAGCAATCTTGTTTTTCATTTGTCTTGGGCCAGGTTTCTATTAATGGTGGCTCTGCGTACCAGGTGGCCAGAAAACTTCCTGCCCTATGATACAACGATTTGAGACTTGGACTTGAAATAAAAATGCCTAGGTTTTCGTCTCTACTTTACTCCTTATGCATTCTGTGAATTTGGGTAAATTAAGTAGCCTTTTAGCCTCAGTTTCTTTATCACATAAGAATGACACCTACCTCACAGGGTTGTTGTGAGGCTGGAATGAGGTAGCAGGTATATACGTGAGCTCCTTGAAAACTACAAACCATAAAGCAGAACCATGCAACTGAAACGTTTTGTTCTTCAAAAACGAATTTGAAAAGCGAATCAGAGAATTTTTAAAGGGTCTTAAAACTGCAGTGGGGGACTTTTAGAAACTTTTTTCCTCTCGATGGAACTTTTTCCATGTTCTCTGCCCTTATTAAGGTCTCCTTGTTGACTTACACATGCTGAATGAGATTTTTAAAAATACTGTTGTCACCAGTAGTCGCGCTCCCTCTTACCCTAGCAGTGGGGACAAGCCGTAGGCTGGGATGGCACCGCTCAAACTGGGCTCGTTTTGACTCCTTTTTCACAGAGAGCGCCAGTTTAATGCCAGTAGTCGTATCGGGCCTTCGGGGTAGTAAAAACGTGTGGGTTTGACTTCGGCGGTCCCCTTGCTGACTTGTAGTGGATTGCAACTTTTGTTGTTAATTATAATAGTTTAAAAAATTGAGTTCTACTTACTGGACATGCATCTCTGTACTTGAAAGTTAACATATTAAAAGCGTATTTTTTTTCTTCCTTGGTTTTCTTGTTCATGTGGATAACCCAGAGAATGCCTGAGTCTAAGGTGCCATCCTCTGAGAGTCATCGCCCAGAAATGTGCTCTAGCTGCAGTGTTCCTCTTTCCATTGGAGACAGCAGCTCCTCCTCTGGGAGTTGCACCAGCAGTCCACAAAGGATAGTTTCTCAGCCTTCCTCTATTGAGAACCCATTGGAGAACCAGAAAAATGATCCAAATAATTCCGATATTAAGATCTCTGAGACAGAGACACTTAAACCATCACACAATTATCAGACTTTGCCTTCATCTCCACTTCTGGTCCCCCAAGAATCTTTGGCCTCTTCAGAGGTCAAGGAGGATTTACCTGTAGAGTCTTCAGCTTCACAGCACGGACAGGATGCCATCCTCTACCTCCAGACACAGGTGGCTGAGATGTCCCGAGTGATACGGGACCTGCAGTCCAGGAGCTGTTTTAGATTTCATCATTCTAGGCCAAGTGAGAACTCCTCGGTTCCTTGGGATATCTCCACCTCCAAGGAAGAACATTTATCCACAGTGGAAGAAGAAGCTGACTGCAAGTCCCCCTCTGCCGATGACAAAGGGCAGCCAGCTGACCCCAGTCAGTCGAGTTTCACAGGTCTCTTAAAGAGAATGGAGCAGCGAGGAGTTATAAAGAGAGTCACATTGCAGTCTGAAGCGGAACCATGTGAAGGGAAGCCTGATTGTGTGACCTCTAAGAAACGTTTGGTTCCTCCCCTGCATCCTCTTCTGAGAATTGCCACCACTGAGGTTTTCAAAGACCCTGCTGATTGCCATCCTTCTTCTTTCATGGGACACAGGGTATATCCTGTGGCCAAGGATACCTCTCCCTTCCAACCGAATCCACCCGCCGGGGGCCCCATCGTAGAAGCGCTGGCGCACAGCCGAAGAGGGAGCACAGCGTCTCTGCTCGATTCTGCCTCAAAAGAAATGGAGGTCATGGGTTGTAGGTTCTACCACGCCGCTTCCATCGCGGCCCGGGCTGCTAGCTACATGGCCTACATGACGCAGTACCAGCGTAAACTCTGGGAAGACATGGAGGATCTGGTCCACGACCCAGAGTTTGATCGTGGAAAAGCGAGGTGTATAATATCAGACGGTATGGATGCAGGCCTCTGGCAGCTTTGTACTACCAGGGACATCATGGACTCTGTGGTCAGAGTGATGGCGATGGCGATAGACTACAGAAGGCAAGCTTGGCTCCGACTCACGTCGCTCACCAAGAAGACCCAGGAGAAGATCTCACACTTGCCCTTTGATGGTACTTCCCTCTTTGGGCAAGATGTCAATGCTGTTGTTGCTGAAGAAAACAGTATAAAAGAAAATGACTATAAAGACCACAACAAGTACTATAACCAACATCGATACTTTTATAGTCATGACCAGAAAGCACATTATCACAGTAAAGGATACTCGAGAGGGGATTGGTACAAACCCCGAAACCACCCCTATAGATACAGGAAGAAGGGAGACTCTCCAGAACGCCACGGGTACAAGAATTAGTAACCCGCTCCCATTCAGCTGCGTGCCATCCGAGATGCTGCTTGTTTTACTTGCTCCTCCCCACTCACGTGGGTCTGCAGGTGGGGGGCCACCTCGCAGACTGAACATTTGTCTGGAGTTGTCACAGCTGACAGTTGACTTCTGGACTTTTGGAATGAAGTAAATAATAGAGACTCATGCTTTATTGGCCAACTGAGCAGTAGAGACTTTAAGCAGGGTCGGACAAGGGTTTACCTGTGATTTCTAGTCCAGAATAAGTTGAGGGAGGGGACTCAGGAATCTGAGTCCTCTTGTGATTAAGGGAAAATACGACGACTTCTTCCTCAGGAAAATCTTGCTGATAAACTGAGGACTAGCAGATTTGGGACTTGGAAATAACCTGCTA